TATCACCGGTTCAAACGAATAATATGCTTTTGACGCTTACAACCGACTAACGCGTTTAAATGGTCAATGGCGTGAAAAGGCAAGAGATAATTATATTTTCAGTGTCGATGCAGACTGCAGACGAACTTTCTCGTTGAAATATCATCCTGTATTTTATTCAACGATGTAAATAAGCGAGTTTGTTGCTCCTGTGTTTTTCCTCCTCTCTTTTTTCCTCTTCTTCTCTTTTTAGCAACGGATAGATCTTCTTCGCACTCAAAATCCATAAACGTATCGATTTAATATTCGAGTTTTCTTTCTTTTTTCTAGTAATAGCAAAAGGAAGAAGACGTGATTTTTTTTATAATTTTTTTACAAGGAAAAAAAGATCAAAATATCCTTCGTTTCTCTTCAAAGTTCATATTACGTTAACCTAATCAATATAAAATTTGCGATTTGAATTTAATTCCATCGATTAAATCTGAACATGGCACGGTAGTTGCATTTCCCTCCGATAATTATTTTTCAAAGGGATGGAAGAAAAAAAAAAAAGGAGAGACAGAAAACGGATACTCTCTTTAATATCCAACGCTTAATAGCTTTTTAATATCCGAGGTTTCTCCAATAGCGGGCAATTTATCGTCCCCCTCTTATCTTACGTCTCCCAGAGATTTCCTCCCAGAGCGGGGAGACATTTGTGTAACAGTTTGTGTAACGTAGTCGTGCACGAGGGAACTTATATGCTAAGTTAGACACGTAAAATGCAGATTGTCCGGGTTTGACTTAACGGGTCAGCAGATATGAGGTCGGTGTGCCAATCAATCGATTTCGAATCAACGAATCACGTGATGCTTGACAAAAGAAAATTTTGCATTATTAATCTTTTGTCCCAATAGCAATTAAATTTTAACGATCCATATACATATATATACACTTATTAAACTTATTAAAATTAGGAAAACTTTGAATCGCTGTAACTTCAAAAATAATGATCTTTGGCGAATCAATGAAAAACCATTAGAAGCGCGGAACCTTGCCCTTTAAAACGCTTTTTTATTTATCCCGATACGACTTCCGGTTCCCGAGATATCGTCGTGTAAAGAAAAGATGATTTCGAATCGTTTACCTTAAACCCGATCGAATTCTATTAAAATTAGAAAAACTTTGAATCGCTGTAATTTCGAAAATAATGATCTCTGGCGAATCAATGAAAAACCATTAGAAGCGTGGAACCTTGCCCTTTAAAACGCTTTTTTATTTATCTCGATACGACTTCCGGTTCCCGAGATATCGTCGTGTAAAGAAAAGATGATTTCGAATCGTTTACCTTAAACCCGATCGAACTCTATTAAAATTAGGAAAACTTTGAATCGCTGTAACTTCGAAAATAATGATCTTTGGCGAATCAATGAAAAACCATTAGAAGCGTGGAACTTTGCCCTTTAAAACGCTTTTTTATTTATCTCGATACGACTTCCGGTTCCCGAGATATCGTCGTGTAAAGAAAAGGGTAATTTTCGATCGTTTACCGTCTCCGTCCTTGTTTTTTATTCGAAACTCTCGCTCGCACCTAGTTTCACTGACCTATCCCAAACCACAGACGAGCGACAGACGCGATTCCTGGAAAAACATAGTACGTATTTCCAGGAAGAGATATAGGTCATTCATAATCGGTGCAATCTCTATGAAAACTTTGAACTCTTATATCTCGGCAACCGATTGAGATATCGGGATAAAACAAAAAGGGATTTCAATGGCATAGTTTCCTCTATTCCCCGAGTGGATTTTAATGATGATATTTTAATCTTTTCTTACGTTTTTTTTTTTTTTCTTTTTCTTTTTCCTACGAATTGAAATTTCATCCATGACATTTCGTGAACGCTGAAGGTCTGTCATTGTAATGTAAAGTGGACATAATTTAACATATATTTTACACAACGTCGACATATTTTATGTATATTCGTTGAATATTTGAATGCATACCATCCCTTTACATAATTACAAGGTTGGGCAATGTTATGAATATTAATAAATGATATACTCGGATGATGTTTATACGGAAAATATATGTCGTTAATATGGACGGGCTTTCGTATATATCGCTTAAAAAAAAAAAAAAAATCCTCAGTTTTTAGTTAACAAAGTTTCTTTGTCGAGCAAATTTGATTTTCGTACGTTGATTGAATCGGATTCGTTGATTCGAAATTGATCGATTGGCCCGTCGAAACCGTACCCAGATACTTTAAACAGATGTTTCATCCGATAGTTAGATTAAGATCTCACGTTGTTGAACCGTGTTTGAAACGATATAGCCGTGATGTTGGCCGGGTGTGAAAGGTAGGCTCGATCGAGATACGCGGTGAAATAAATGACCGTACGCGTGATAAAGTTAACTTACTGATGCGACAATAGTGGGCGGTACTGAGGCTTTGCACGAGCTTCAATTATCACGGATCAGTTTGGTGGGGTATCGGTGGAAATTCGAGCGACCTTCCTTTCGCTGTTAATCGATGCTTTTGCTTCCAATTGCGGCTCGCGTAATTATACACGAAATGTTTCTCCAATTCATACGATCTATCTTACATACTTTTTACTCTCTTCATTAAAGAATCTCTTCATTGTTGTTTGGAAGTGAAATAAGTTGTTGTCAATTATAGATATTTGTTTCTAAAAAAATTAAAAATCATTGTATACAGATTTTCATTAAAAGGAGAATTAGAATTTTTAGGCTGGTTAAATTTTTCCTATAATAAATAAAATAGGATTTATTTGTTATTTGATTTTTTTTTTGTATAGATAGATAGATGGATAGATATCAGTGTCTCGTGGATTCTATGCTCGAAGTTTGAAGTGGCAATGGGGGTATAAGACTGGGTTGAAGGACTCTTGATTGATTCGAAGGTTGCCGGAATTTTGGAAGTTTCGAGAGCTCTGGTGATTCCGGAAGTTTCACGAGGCATTGGCGTGTTTCAGGGATTCTGAATGTCTCTGAGGAATATAGGAGTTCCGGCGGTTTTGAACGTATCAGTGTGTTTCCCCGCCTTTAACAGTTTAGGACAGTTTGGGGCGGTTCAATTATACTTGTGCGGTTCCAGAGCTGGATGGGAAGTTCTTTTAGAAGTTTTAACAGATTTTAATTCTACAATCTTGTCGAAATTCGTCCAATCTTGCCTTCTCCAAATGTTGAAATACTTTCACGAGCTTTCTATCCTTTATCTTCTCCTTATCTACTTTTCTGGAGAACTGGAAATTATCATCTGAAGTTCACGAAATGAAATTATCTAAATTTCTGAAACAATTCTGAATTCCTCGATTCTCGCACAACTCCCCAAAAATTACTATAATTATTTCAAGTTCTCTTACATTCTCGAATCTAAAGACGCTTCTCGATTCTTTCAAAATTTTTTCTATAAAATCTTTCATTTCTCGATTTTACTTCAACTTCGACCAATAATTCATCAATATTCTTTGCATCTTTTCCAAATACTTTTCCTTCCCTTCTCCATCTCACCACTTTTAATCAATAAAAATTGACAAATAATTTGCCTAATAATTGACTATATTATAATTATATTATATTATTAATTAATTATAATAAATATTATAATAAATTGACTAATAATCAGATTGGATCGATTACAGTAATATACCACTTCTTTTGATCGCATCTTGCTTCATATAAATATCCTCTCCTTCCTAAATCTTTCTCCTCGACACTCCTCCTCCCCCTTGATAATAAAACCACGGAGATAAATTTC